GCCCGCCCGCCTCCACCCCGGGGTCCCGGCCGGCTCCCCCGACGGAGCGGCCGGCACGGCCCGACCGAGGGGGCACAACGCTCCGAGGGCCCCAGGCCTCCGACAGCCCCACTTCTAGGGAAACTGAGGCCGCTGCGGCGCGCCAGGGTGCAGGGGGCCCGGGTTTGGTACTGCCACCCGGGCCTCGGTCCTGCAAAGGGCAGGGAGGGAGGAGGGTGGGGGGAAGGCGCAGGGGTCTCCGCGCCTTTTGCAGAAGGCTGGCCGGCCAAGTTACTTTGCTGCCTGTGTCTGGGTGTCCTCACTGGGGGGGTGGCTATGCCCTCCCTTTCCCGGCCAGGACAGAGGAGCCAGGCGCAGAGGCCATGGGAGGCTTTGTGGGCCTCAGCCCTGACCCAGGAAGGAGCATAGGGGGTGTGCGGTGCCTGAGGAGAAGCTGGGAGGTCAGGAGAGGGGGCCACTGTGGGGCCACAGGCTGTGGTCACATGATATGACTGAGCAGGCCCCTTTTGTCAGTGTGCCCAGCCTAGAGCCCAGGCTTGAAGGAATGCCTTTCCTGCCCTCTTCTGCTCTACCCCGGTGCTGAGCGTGGCTTGATGGACACAGGGACACGGGACACATACCCTTACGAAGGCTGGCTAGGCGCCAGCACGGGGCTGCGGGGTTTTGCCGATTCCTGCAGCAATACTGTGGGGGTGGGGGTCTTCATGCCCATTTCACAGATGGAGGTAGGGAGGTGTTGTCCACACGCTAGTGAGTGGTCCAGCCGATCCCCCTGCTGCTTCTCTTTCCACTGCACCAGCTGCCTCTGAAAACCAAGGCCTGGGATGGAGCCCAGGGGGCCGCTGCAGGACCTGGAAGGGTGAGGAGGATTTGATACCAGAGGCAAGGAGGCAGTGATGTTATATGGGGACCGGCAGGAGCCAGGTCTGAGGTCAGATAGAGCCTAGCACGTGTGTGTGTGCGCGCAGAGGTGAGGCTGGTGGGTCAGGGTGGCCCTCTCCCTCACCCTAGCTGGAGAGCAGAGGTGGGGTCTGCTCAGTCAGGGTGGTGCTAAGTAGCCCCAGCCAGTGGCCGGACCAGCTCCTGTGGGTATGTGGTGCGACAACGGGATGGATTAGGAGAGGGAGCTTGGCCAGTGGGTGGGCAGGGCAGAAGAGCCTCGTGGCCTTGCACCTTGGCTCTGCGGCTCCCCGAGCACCCCTCACTTGGCCCTGGAGGGGAACTCTCAGTCCAAATGGCACAGGAGAGGCGCTTGAGGTCCAGCAGTGTTAGACTCTGCTGAGGGCATTTGGTGAAGCCATTTGGGAGAAACTCGGGCTTCCTGCCCCCCAGGTGGCTCTGGCCAAACTCAGGGGTTGTGATGAGGCCCAGGGTAGTTGGGCTGGTGGAGAGGTAGTAGGGGCTGTGGAAAGAGTCTGACAGACCTAATCCATGCCTGCTATGTGCTTGGGGCAAGCACCTCCCAAACCCCCTCCCTGCCTCAGTTTCTCCTGGATGATGGATCATCCCATCTGCCTTGCAGGGCTATTGCAGAGGTGAATCAAAGTCATAGTGTTGCACGAGTCACAACTCATTGTACTTACTCTTGGGTGTGTGTGGGCGGGGCAGGCGCTATGGTCCTGGATCGCCCCAGTCATCAGGGAAGCCTGACCCTATCTGCTCCCCACTCCCAGCCCTGCCTTTCTCCCCTCTCCTAGGCTCAGCCCTGTTCCCATTCACTGGTCCTGGCCTTGCTTTGATTTTAGCCATGGTGCTGGGGAGGGTGCTGCTGGGCACAAGGGGGTCCTGCATCTCCGAAAGCAGCCTGCAAGGTGGTGGGGGACATGGAGGCAGGAGGACCCAGCACCGGGTGATCTGAGTTTCAAGCCTAAGCTGTCAACCATAGGGACATTTCCCTGGATCAGTTTTGTGCAATGAGGATAATACACCACCACCACCACCCCCAGAAGGGAATGAGGAAGAGATGGGATGGGTAGCAGGGAGGGCACAGAAAGTGGAAGCCTTTGTGATGATGATGTCACCCCATTTGGGAGCAGCCAGGATGAAACGGGAGCCAGGAAGCCTGGTTCCTGGCCTGAGTTCCTGGGTGACCTCAGGCAGCTCGGTGCCTCTTTGGACCCCTTGTCCCTGCTGACATGTGAAAGTCTTCAAGGTCCTTTCCCACCTCTTGAAGTTTGGGAGAGCACTATGATTTCTAGACCTGAGCCGCAAGGCCAGGGTAGGGGATCGGACTCTGCTTCCCAGAGTCCCAGACAGAGCAACCATGTTTCTGCTCGAATTGTCCCTCGGTGGCTCCACGTAGACAAGAGAAGAACCGGGCGAGAGGGAGGATGGGGTGGGGAGGATGGAGCCGCCTCCGGCGCTGCGACCTTTCTGGACCTCGATCCTTGCTCTGTGCGGTGGGACAGTGCTGTGCTCTGCCACCTCTCCCAGGGTCTCATGGGATGCAGGATGGAACTCATGCCCTCCAGTCCTTTCTCCTTGCCCAGAGGGTGGGCTGCCAAGGAAGGATTTGCCAAAATGAAGTGAAGGCCCCCTCCATCTGGGAGACTTGGCATCTCCAGATCCTTCCCTGCTTCTGGTGATTTGGGGAGGCACTGGGGGGTATTGGAAGAGGAATTGTGGGTGCTGAGAAACTGGTGTCCAGGGAGGGAGCTGAACTGTGGGTGCCCCTCTGCGCCAGGAGATAGCCAGACCCTGATGGTCGTCCGGTGAGGAGAGATGGAGCGTGCTCGTTGCTACCGCCGCGGCTGTGTCCTCGGGCCTGTCTACTGCAGCTGCTCTTTCATTCCCTCTCCTCTTGCCCATCCACAGGCCTGAGCCCGGGCGATGCTGAAGATGATGACTTTCTTCCAAGCCCTTCCAGGCCAGCAGACGGTGCCAGGGGTTCTTGACTTCCCCGGAAGTTCCCCGAAGTTGCCCTCCACCTCCGAGGTGGAATCCGAGGCCTCCATGTCAGAGGCCTCTTCTGAAGACCTGGTGCCACCCCTGGAGGCCAAGGGAGCCCCGGAGAGGGACAAGGAAGAGGCAGAAAAGAAGAAGAAGAAGAGGCCAAAAGGACTGGCCGACGTGTTCAGCATCTTCACCAAAGGGAGGAAGAAGAAAGGTCAGCCCAGCTCAGCAGAGCCAGAGGGCGACCCCGAGTCCCAAACTGAGTCCAGCCGCCCGCGGCCCACAGGTAGGCTGGGACCCCAGGCGGGGTAGGGGTCCGGGATCAGAGCTGGCCGGGGCCCGGGCAGGGCTGGGGCTCATCCGAGTGAATGGCCCACTCACCCTGGACACAGGGAGGGCCGCAGAGATGGGCTTGGCCGTGTCTCGTCTGCCGCCTTTCGCCCGCCCGCGCCGCCTAATCCTGGGGCCGGCAGGCGGCCGGCCGGGCTTCA